ATGCTGGAAGCGTAACCTTTAGTTACGAACGCTTCCGGTTATGAACGCTTCAGGTTACGAGCTCCGCTAACACGGAAGTAGCTGCTCCTGGTTGTGAAATTTGCCCCAGGATGCGAATGGAAATTGTGCGCCAGGGGCACGCGCACAGTGGGAGGCCCCATTAGCGAAAGCGCGCCTCAGGATAAGAACGGTTTCAGCTTAAGAATGGACCACCGGAACGAATTAAGTTTGTAACCAGAGGTACCACTGTAATAAGAAAACAGGTGAAATACTTGGATGGACTTCCTTTCCATGTGGAAAGATTTCAGGTGGTTTTTGTTCTTGTTTACTTCCACATAAATCCCTTCCCCCAGTTAAAAAGCAATGGCTTTAAAAGTATGGAACAAAAGCTACCTGGATAAAAACAAAAACGTGCACTACCCCACCTGTTAAAAGGAAGTGCTTGTGGAAGAATTGGAATATCTACTTTGAACTCTCCACCTTCTGTCACATAGAAACCACAAAGGAAACTAGTCATTAATGTTCTAAGAACATGACTGTTGATAAAGCTGATGTACCCTATCAATTATTATTGTTGGCTTGTTTGAACCGTATTTGTTAAAAATAAAGTATGTATTTAAAAAGTGTGAGTGGCAGTGAGAAATTGTGACATATATCTGGGGTGTGAAGTGGGTGGAATAGAGATGATAACTTCTTTAGCCAACTTCCTTTTTTAAAAAAATAATAATAATTATTACGTTTCCAAAAAATTTAAACACTAAAAGAAAAGAAAAAACACATACAATACAATACATTAAACTAACAAAACAATGCAACAACAATAAAGTAAATCAAATTTCATTCAATATCTTATATTTCATTCACTTATTTCCAGTGACTTCCTCACACCTCCCTTTTTGTATTCCACTTCTATTATTTGTTTCAGCAATTCCTTTCCATCTTACTCTGTTTTCTGTTCTATAATTATCTTAACACATTCTTGCCATACTTTTCCTTTAATTTTCTATTAATCTATTTATACTTAATTCCTTATGACATTTCTACTAAAGCCATGTAATTTCATTCCAACATTTTTCTAACATTCCTTAATTTTACAATATTTCTATAAATAGTCTTTAAACTTTTTCCAATCTTCTTCCACCGACTCTTCACCCTGGTCTCAGATTTTGCCAGTCATTTCCGTCAATTCCCTATAGTCCATCAACTTCGTCTGCCATTGTCCAACACTTCAGTGTTTTCAAGAAGCAACCATTCTCTCAACCAGCAAAAGGCAGATGGTTCACAATGAAGTTTAAAGGTCTGGCAGGGCAGGTCCACCTCCTTCTTTAGCATCCATCAATATCTTAAGTTTGACTCGAGGCTTCCTGCCCTGCCAAACAACTCTAGGAGCATCCCTCTGCCATCTCCTGAGACCCTCCATCCCATCCAGAGCTTGCAATGTTTGAAACAAAGCAACATCCCCAGCAACACAGCAGCCCTTATCCCCACCACAATAACTCGGCCCAACAGTAACAACTTCTGATTTGTCCATATTTCCAAATCCCCCTTCTCTTCAATCCATCATCCTTCACAGTTGTCCTTAAGCAGATTCACATTTTTGGCGGTCATACTAACCCCCAAATACCTCTCTTTCTCAACCAATGTTAGTCCTGTCGCCTCCTGAAACTCTGTCAGGCTTTCCTTTTCCAATTCAGATAGGGCTCTGGTCCTCAAATTCATCCGTTCTTCTTTAAGTTCAATCATAACGAATGTCAGCTTATGTTCATCAAGTTGTCTTTGTATGGATGGGACTCTCCTCTCCAGTTGTATTACTTTAGATTCAGCAGCAAGGGTTTTTTCCCTGACTTCATCTGCAGTTTGCCGTTTCAGAGTAGATTCCTGTATCAGTTTCTGGGTGGTTTCTGAATTGGTATTCACCTTTTGTCCCAAGTTATTTAAACTTTCTACAATTAAATCAGTTTCAATATTTGCAACATCCAATTTCACATTTATCGCATCTGTTTTCTTATGGAGTTGTTCCAGCGAATCATTTATTTTCAATAATGCAGCCACTAAGGCCTCCTCTGTCGGCATCCCATCTATTTTTTCCTTTCCGTTTGCCATAACACTTAAGAGATTCAAGGTCAATTCCAAAGTCTCACACTTTTCTTATCTTGCAGCTGGAAATTCCCCTAGCCCAGCTCCTATAAAGTAACCAATTTCAAAAGCTTCCACTAGGGGAAAACAGATTGTATTTGTATCGGTCAATATGTCCTCTTTTAAACACAGTTTCAATAATCCGAGTTAGTTTCAATTTTCAGTTACTTTCCTCCTTTTTTAAAAACAACCGGAAACAGTAGAAACAATGTATTTCTCTTATTTAACTAGCTGTCAATGAACGTTCTAAACGCTGTCAATGAACATTCCAAAAAACCCCCAAAAAACCCCATCAGTCTTACTAGCAGCCCGTTTCCAGGGTCAGAGCGGCGGTGTTTTAAGCCTCTTCGCTCTCTCCCGCAGGCATACTCAATCCGCAACTTCCCCCTCTCTTCTCCTGCCTCCAAGAGGGGGTTTAATGTTCTTTACCGTTGGAAATTTGATCTTTTACAAGAGACCTTCCAGGACTCCAGCTTGCAACTTCATTGCCTCAGTCTATTTACAAAAAGGGAAGGCGGACTTCCTGTTTTGAACCTCCCTGTTACGATACCAAATTAAACTTTTAGAGATCCAATTCTTCCGTTTCAGCTCTACTCACGGGTAATTCCTTTAAAGTCAAATTGTCCACAGGAAAAGATCAGCGCTTTCCAGCAACAGCTATGCGGCTTCGCTCCATGGAAGAAGCAGACGATTCGATGCACCGCGCCGCTCACCCCACGTCGCTCCGGAGCCCCAAAAACCGGGGTTCCCCGCGAGTGGGGGAGGCGCAAAAGGTGTCTGCCGAATCCCACGTTCACAGGCTTCTTCTGCCTGTGATTTTAACGGGTCTCCGCCTTCGCCGTGGCGGCCAGACCCAGATTTCCACGGAGCAGATTCCTCCCGGTCAGAGGAATTCTGCCATTGCTGGAGGCGCCTTCCCCGGAAGTCCTCTTCCTTAGCCAACTTCCGACCTATTTTTCCTTTTATGTTTGGTGCCAGTTCTCCCTCGCACCCTCCACAAAAGCCATTGCAGAATGTGTGTGTGTGTGTGTGTGTGTGTGTGTGTGTGAATAGGAGAGGGTATGCTGCTTTGCTGAGAGTTGACAGGCATCAATCCTTGGTAGGACAAATTGTGGAGAAAAGAGAGAAATGAGGTTAGTATTGGCAGCCAGAAAGGGATGACAAATCCAAGATTCGAGTTGTCCCCTTCCAGTAGAAAAACATATATTAAATAAACTTGGATTTCTCTATCAATTTGCAAAACCAAGCCATTCAATTCTAAATCTAACTGCAAAAGTGTGAAAAGTTATTTACAGCTCTGTAGCCATCTCTGATTCCATCAATTTGTTCCCCACTCTCTGTTGTCATTGCTCGCTTCTCATGTATCTCCTGGGACTGTTCCTTGCTTTAGGAGAGAGAATGTCAATAGCCTGTTTCTCCTCCAGGATGTTTCCTGGTGACAACAGCAACGCTTCCACATTCTGATCATCCTCTGTTTATTTTATCTGCCTTGTGTACAATAACAAACACTTTAATTTTTTATTTTTTTAAAAAAGCAAAAGCATGAAAAGCATCTAAAGCAAGCTGAAATGTAACAACGGACTAGTGAGGCTGTATTGGATATGATTGAAAAAATAAATTCATTAGCCTTTCTCTTGGAATTCAAGAACCTGTTATTACTATGCAGAAATGTTTTAGATGCTGAACAATTTCTAGATACCGGCACTGAGATAGAGAGCAAGCTTATTCAATGAATAATTTTGAGATGTCCATCTAAAACTGTATTTATTATATCAGTGTCTAAATGGGTTTCCATTTTAGGAAGGAGCTTGTGTTTTATATAGCTTTTGGGTTGCTGTTTTTTGTTTTTTTGTTTGTTTGTTTATATCAAGGCATGTTGTGAATTGGTAATATTTCTGCAAGGTACCAGAATAAAAGGTACTATATATACACTAATGTTAATTCTAGATAGGGTCCTAAAATAATATCAGGTGGTCAGCTGTATTTTGGAATATGCTAACTTAACTGTGTGTATGATGTTACAAATTACGGCATTCAACCAATATCATACTTTTATGCGTTGCTGTTATATATATATTACTTTGGAGTTCAAAGGCAGGTATGCCATCTCTGTAGGCATCTTGATTTAGCTTTGTGGCTCTGGAGCCATCAGGTGGGTAGGAGCAGGGAATTGGGTACCACCAATGTACAAGCAGGAACACCACCTACACCTGTACAATGGAACACACATAGGTAAAAATGGTGTGGTTAGTTGCCTAATTGAAATAGAAAAGCAACTGAGACGGCCTGAGGGGAAGGGAGAAGAAGAAGAAGAAGAAGAGTTTGGATTTGATATCCCGCCTTTCACTCCCTTTCAGGAATCTCAAAGTGGCTAACATTCTGCTTTCCCTTCCTCCCCCACAACAAACACTCTATGAGGTGAGTGGGGCTGAGAGACTTCAGAGAAGTGTGACTGGCCCAAGGTCACCCAGCAGCTGCATGTGGAGGAGCGGAGACGCGAACCCGGTTCCCCAGATTACGAGACTACCGCTCTTAACCACTACACCACACTGGCGGAGGAGGGTAAGGGCTGGTGTGGAAGGGGTTCCTTCACTGCCGTCCTGCCCTCCGGCATCTTAAAGGGTCAGGGAGCCAGGCGGGCTGGGTTCAGGCCCCTGGTGGGCCGGATATGGGCCATGGACCGTAGTTTGAGGACCCCTGATATAATCATAGAACTGCAGAGTTGGAAGGGGTCCTGAGGATTATCTTGTCCAATATGCAAAGGTAATGTAATAGACCCCTGGACGGTTAAGTCCAGTCAAAGGCGACTATGGGGTTGCGGCGCTCATCTCACTTTCAGGCTGAGGGAGCCGGCGTTTGTCCACAGACAGCATATTACCCATATGGAGATCAAACCCATGACCTTGGCGTAATCAGCACCACGTTCTAACCAACTGAGCTAACTGCTGCTCTTGCAGACCTTCCAAGTGTCCCTATTTTCCAGGGATGTCCCTGATTTAGAGAAGCTGTGCTGGTTTCTGATTTGATCCCGGAATATCCCACTTTTCCTTAGTATGGCCTATTTTCATTGGAGAAATATTGGAGGGTATGGAGTTATCCAAACCGTGAGCCATCTGAAGGCAATCCTGTATCGGGAAGTTTTTTTAAATGTTTCATGTGTAATTATGTTTTTATATATGTCAGAAGCTGCCCAGAGTGGCTGGATCAACCCAGTAAGATGTGTTGGGTATAAATAGTAAAATTATCATTATGGAATTGGACATCCCTATTTTCATCGGAGAAATGTTGGATGGTCTGCTCTTGTACACACTTGCTCCCATCCATGAGTTAGATCCAGTGAGGGGAGAAGTAGGATCTGATCCAGTCCTTTGTTACCCCCACCCCAAAATAAACTAAATAAAATGCTTTGACTGAAATCTCAGCTGATGTGTTTAGATGTGCACTTGCAAGAAAGCAATAAACAACCTTTCAGCTCATGAGGAAATGATTAAAAAAAGCTTCCTCTCCCTAATAGGATGCGACTCGGTTTTATTTGTAGTGTTATATCTGCTAATAGAACCAAAAGCATTATTTGTCTGTAATAGATGTTTTGCTTCTCACAAAGTGGCTGTAGAATGGCCTGATTATATGGATGATATAAAGTAGCTGCCAAAAGATTGGCCTCCATTGCAACCTCTGGATTTCAGCTGAGGTTGTGATGATGTACGGCTTTTTTGCATCTTCCCATCTTCCCATTTTTCTTCCCCTGTGTATCTTTGTGATGCTGCCCTCGTATCCTTGTGGGATCAATTTAGCATGATTTTGTTTTATGGCATTGGATAGCTGATAGTATGTCCAGGCCTATTTGTTTATGAGAATTTGCTGTTGTCAAATATTACATGGTGCCTTGAGAGACAGGAATTTGTGAGTAAAAAAAAGAAGCTTTTTTAATTTTTTGAAATCTGAGGTAGAGATGTGATTCTTTTGTTGAAAACAAATATTCAGATTAATCATGGGGCTAGTGGATCAGTCATCTAGAATGACAACTGTGTGACTTAATCATATAGATTGGAGGGAATCTAAATCTTTGCCAAAATACAGGGGTAGGGAACCCTTTCCAGCTGAAAAGCCCCATTACCTCAGAAAAATCTTCCCACAGCCACATGCCAGAGGTGGGTGGGGCCAGAAGCAAAAGCAGGTGGGACTACAAATGCAAATTTTACTTTTGCACACACCCCTCTATATGTTCTTCATATAGACAAAGGGTACAAAGCAGGGCCAATAAGAGGTGTTGCCTGGGGAGAGTTCCAAGGGACCAATTGATAGGGCTGAAAGGCTGAGCCTGAGGTTCTCCACCCCTGCTGCCCTGAGGCAAGGTCTTTTGCCCATGTATTCCCATCAGGTTAAACTACTTGATTTAAAACCAAGCTACATGATTAGGAAAAGCCAGCAGGACAATGCCTGGACTATGTTTAAGGATTGCCAGGTGAGAGATTGCCTGGATAGAAGCAATTTTGGTAAAACCAGCTGAGAATGGAAAACCAGGGCAGCCGCCATGTTGAGATCACTTGTTGTAGTAAGAGTTTGCACAATGTTTGGTTGTTCTATTCGACAGTCTCCTGTGGCGTCATTTGGCAGTTGCAAATATTACATGGTACCAGCAGGCAAACCGAAAGGTAAAACAAACAAAAAATCAGAAAGGGGGGGGGCAGGACAACCTGCCTGTCAATCCTGTGGTGTCACAAGGATGACATAATGACCTGCCCATCAAAGCTGGCCTGCAGGGTGAGGCCAGATCTTTATCTGGAGCCGAAAAGGTTCTCTACCCATGGTATATTGTTCAGAGTTATTAGTCTAAATGGCCTCCCCATTCTTTCCTAAACCCCAACCAATGTTATTTAGTAATACATCTTTTCAATCTCACCTCAGAACACTCTCAGAATATGGGAAGCTAAAGAATTAAATGAGGGGATGGGTTGAGGAGGAACTAAGCGCTATGCCCTGAAAAACTGCTTATAGGAGCTTCTTTTTTCATCTTCTTTTTTAATGTTGAAAGCTGGCCTGTGTGCGCATCTACGGGAACCTAATTTGTAGTCAAGAAAGCAATGTTTATTTGGAGGCAGCTTACTCCTGAAAGTCAACGGAAATCTGTCAGCTGTTTTGTTTGAGGTTTCAGCACAAAAAGAACAGAGTCGGTTATTATTGCTGGCGTCCACTGACAATATGAAATAGTGTCTTTTAATGCTTTTGTTTAAGAAAGAAAAAGTTTACACAATCTATGAAAAGTTGTATCACGGGGAAAGAAACTTCTGGTTCTTCTGAATTTTATTGATATACATTGCACCAGTCTCTCTCTCTCTCTGTCTCTCTGCCAATTCTTTCTTTCCAGAGCTTGCAACTATGTTGAAGCAGAGGTCATGTCTTCCTTTGTGTTTGTTCTGAAGCTGGCACACTGTAAGCTGAGCTGTTTAATAATAGATAATAAAAATGAACTTTCAAAGTGTGCATTACGACGACAGGAAAAGGTAAGGTATTACTTTTCATATATCTACTTTATCTGAATTTCTGTCATAATCACGTCTATTATCCTTTGAATGTTCTGTGAACACGAGCTCATTTCAAAAAGTGCAAGCAGCTGCCCATACAGTGGATAGCATTGCTGCAGCTGGGTGGCATGCTAAAAACACTTCCTATGCTCATGTGCTTGGAAGTGGTTCCAAGCTGGACTGTATGTTGGCAAATATATGGCTACAAACTCGGAGCTTGCTGAAATGAAGTCACAGGGAAGAATCATCACTAGGATTCTCCCATGAAAATGCCCCCTCCCCCTGGATGCTCATACCTACCCAGTCTTGAACATCTTGTTTTAGAGCACAGTATTGACTCTCTTTTTTTAACAAAAAAAATGTCTTGGAGAGGCACTTGCAGATCAGAAGTGATGTACAGGGAAAGCAACTCCTCTGACTTGTAATATAGGCGTTGTGCTTTAAAACCCAAAACTTACTATATAATTAACATGAGTTATGACGAATGTTAGCCATTCATACATGTCCATTGGTGTGTGCACTTGCATAAAAATAAAGTGCTTTTTAGTTAATGCAACATTATATAAATGATACTGGGTGATCCTGGCCAGTGTTTTTCTCAGTGTACTGATCCAACCATTTATTTTCCAAAGCAATTTCCAAAGCAAAAGGAAAAGCAACCAAGTGTTAAATCCTACCTATTTTAAAGGTGTCCTCCTACCTTTCAGAGCCAAATTGTTGTTCTCTGTTGAAGGGCTTTGCTGCCTGTGATTATGGAAATAAATCTGTAGTACATTTTAGCCCAGTGGCCCATTGCAGCCAGCTCCAGGTTCTTAGCTCTGAAGAATAACGACAGTCATTTTATGGGACTGAGAGATTATAAATCATTTGCTTTGTCAGTTCAATGTTTTCCGACAGCATTCTTCTCTCAGTTTCCAAGACAGCTGGCCCAGTAGGACCCACTCATTTGTGGCAACTACTCTGAAAGCTTCCGCCCCCACCCCCTTTGGTGATCCCACCAGATTCCTTAAGTTTCATCAACTGCCTCCACCAGTCTGACATGCTGATGCATCAATCTCAAATGATATGTAATACAAATTATTTAGGACCAACATAAACCTTGGTTTATTGATTTTAAAAATAATGAATTAAAAGAAAGATAGAAGTTTGAGGGCAGTCACGACACGTTAGTTTGTCAGCTGCGGTGTGTAGGTATGTCGTGCAAATGCTGCCTGCACTCCTCCCGGGGCTGGAAAGGGGTTAGTTTAACGTCCAGTTTGCTAGTAAAACTGAATTACTGTGTTGTGAAATGATGCATGTCTAAAAAAACTTGTCACCAACATAAAAAGTCTGGAAAGCTCTGGTTTGAGAGGTGTGTGTGTTTGTGTGTGTATGTTGTTGTTTAGTCGTTTAGTCGTGTCCAACTCTTCGTGACCCCATGGACCAGAGCACGCCAGGCACTCCTGTCTTCCACTGCCTCCCGCAGTTTGGTCAAACTCATGTTTGTAGCTTCGAGAACACTGTCGTGTATATACACACTGTGTGTATACACACACACACACACATATATATGGTGTATATATGTATATGTATATATGGTGGTTGTTTTGTGCATAGAACTAACATCTGATAAGTAGACCAAGGATTTTTTGATTCCTCCAGCAATGTACCCTGCATAATCCATGCCCTAATAACCTAAGTCAGGGAGAAGCATACAAACACAGCCATCTTCCCATGTGTCACCCCACTAAAATGTTGAGAGTGGGACTTCGAGTGAACTGGGATTATGTCCCGGTTATCTGCAGGACACACTGGCTTAGTCTGGTTGTCTCTGGTTATTATGGAAATAATCTGAGTGAGCTGCATTTCCTTTGATACAAAATGGTTCAGGTTTGGTCTAAACCCAGCAATACAAATTTAGCATATTAGGGAAAAAGTTCCACGCCAGGTTTATTACTGCTATTCCAGCTATTAAATACTTGCAAGTGATCCATACCTTTCAGTTTGCAAAGGTGACAATGCTTTTTGCTGCTTTTGGTCTCTGGTTCACCCCATTATACAGAATGTGTAGACCAGGCTTCAAATACTGCATACAGTAGTCTGGGCCAACTGGCTTCACATCATACAGGGTGGTTTTATTTAATGTGTCCAAATGCCTGAAATGGAAGCTGTAGGCTGATTGCCTAAAAGCTTGTATTTAACTGTAAGGAGGGGGCACTCATTGAAAGCCTTTGGCTATGTGTTTAAGCCTACCATTCCTCTGTATGCTCTCCATAATCTGGAAATAAAAATCCACTTGCTACGACTTTTTTGTTTTTGTTTTTGTTTTTTTGCCTGTTTACTTTTCCTTCGTTGTATGCCTTTTATGCACTTTATGTGATGCTTCTGTGGTAGTCTGCAATGTTGAACAAAACTCACATGTCAGATCTAGACTGCCATTCGAAGT